AAATTATATTAGGGGTGTTATTTGATAGGATTTTTAAGCCTCGGAATATGATTTCAATTGGGGAGTAATAATCTAGCTATGATTTAAGTTTTGAAACGGTATTGCATTGCTACATAAAGCCTAAATATTGCAGCAGCGGTTTAGATTATTACCAACGAGTACTTCCCTCAAACATTATAAGATTTGTTGATGACAACTCATTGAGAAAGTTCAAAACATTTATTAGCCCTGTACCAAGACAACTGCAATCTTGTAAAGCGGGACAATCATATAGAAAGTATGAATAGCCCATACGATCTGACGTGCATATAATCTAGTATTGAACCACCAGATGTCTGTTCTTTCTGTAGCCCATTAATCTCTTAATAATAATTGCGCTTACGTTGGCAATCCCCTTTCTCCAAATGTCCTCATTCTGTTGGTGGCTTTCAAGCCTTGATAGATACAAGATATATGCCCCATGTTCACTGTTCCTAAACCGGGGAAAGGTTTCTGATCACACTGTCTGCTATCTTACTTCTTTCTAATCAAATTCAGATCGTTATGAGCTAAATAAATCGACTATCTTGGCCTTAAAAATTGTGACTACTCCGCATACTCATGTAAAGAGTACTCCTCAAAAGACTAGGACTAATCTAAATATATATTTAACATTGTGTTGTCCTAGGTGAGGACCACGTAAACCATCCATGCATGGGAGTACATTGATCCGCAACATTGTCGTATGCAGTTTTCAATAAACATGGTCCAAGCTTGCATTACATAGGACTACTAAACGGACCATATACTTCAATAATGTTAACAGTACTGTAGTTTTGGGATTGTCTAAATGGATCTTGTGCTCCTATAATTTTTGGAGGGTTTTTATACATTTGACTTACGCATCAATAACCTCCAAGTTCTCAAAGACTGTTTAGAACGCGAATATTAAAATGTCAAGATCCCCGTTTTAAGAATAATTCATTGTAAATATTTTGGAGAAATCAAGAAACCTCCTCGGATATTTTAAGCAAATTTAGATATAGTATGTAAGTATATGTGTATTTTTGAAATTAAACTGTTCAAAACAAATAAAAAAAAACTGAACTAAACTAAACTCAAAAAGAAAGTTTAAATCAAAATTTAGTTATTAACATGTTAAACAATTATTTACCTGAAATGCAGTCGATATAAACATGCGTATAGTCATGGGTATAACTAAATCAATGGTGTTTATATCATTTGAACAACGATCTAAAATGCGACCTTTCGGTGTGATGTCAAAAAATTCCGATGAACAATGCATTAAATGTGAATAGAGTTTAGTGAATATTTCTAATGAGGCATGAAGTGTGGCCATCCATAAACATAAGGAGGCACCAAAATTGCAAAGACCTGTGTGTAGTAAAAAAATGTTGTACATATTTTATAAAAGAGGAAAATGCAATAAAAGAGGCAAAGAAGTAGAGAAAAGAAATTATGAGGGAAAGAGAAAAAAGTGTTTAACACTATAAATATGAAGTGAATATAAAAATAACATTAAAAAGTTTTAAAAATAAATGTTAAATCAAAAGGATTAAAAATTACTGTGGAAAAAAATACAAACCAGTGTTGAAATTATACAAAATAAAGGAATTAAAACATTAAAATACCATAAAATAAATGTCAAAAAACTATCCAGTGTAGCCGGCAGTTCACCATCTATAATTTCCATATCACCACTAAAGTGATTAAGTAGACGGCCTATAGGTGTAATATCGAAGAAACGACACACCGAACCACGCATTATAATGTACAAGAAATCATTGTGGATCCTTTTGGCAGCCTCGAAGGTACCATAGTAAATAATGACTACGGCAAAATAGGCAAAAACACCTTTTTTTGGGGGGGGAAGAGGAATTATAATATACAATAAGGATATTTTGGGAAGAAAAAGAGGGAATAAAATAAAGGATTAATATTAAGTATTAATTAATAATATTAATATCAGGATAATGGGAAGTGAGGATAATGTCTGGTTACCAAACCTTATGGGAGATTTATAAATTAAAATGTTTATTTTAAAAATTTTTAATGGGAAAGTGGATTTTTTTAGGATGTTTTTTTTACCATAAAAGCATTATTTTTATATAAAATATTTGAAGTTTTAGAATAATGACTAGTTTCTTTATAACGTAAACTCTTGATTATAAGAGAGTATAACGTAATGAGTGTTAAGCTTAATATTAAGTCGCCTCACAACTAGAGTCGTATTGTCGTAGCAATTGTATACAACAATTATAATTTTATGAGTGCAGTCGATGTGAATTACCAAATGTAGTATGTTTTGAAAATAGTTAATATCGTGGTAATGAATATCTTCTTACTAAAATCTCAATATTTCGAATGTAAAGAAGGTGGAATTTCAAAAAAAAGAAATTAAATTCTTTTCTATGACTTTAATGTAACCATTTTACCAATAACTTATCGGAAATATGTCAATATATGTTATATATTATATAGTGGCATATTTTAAAATATATAAAATTATATAATTATAAGTTATATAATTTAAGTTTTAAGTAAGATTAAATTGAAGTTTTACTTCGGTTTTAGATTATCTTAAAGTGGCAATTTTTAAGCTGGTGATAGTTTTTTTTTAATGACATTATTTGCTGGCTTAAAACATAATAGTACAAACTAAAAATCTTAATTGCAAAATAAAAGCTTTATAAGAAATAAATCTATAAAAATATTATATAAATTAATGTGAATAAAAGGAGAGAAAATGCTGTTAAATATTTATTAAATACTGTGCATTGAAAGTAGAAAAGATTTGGATTCTTTCAAAGATTTTTTTTTAGTTCATGCAAAGTTTTATACTCTACTTATGGAATGTACGATCAATTTAAATATTAATAAATTAAACATTCCCTGGGCCATGTAAAATCATATAAATTAAATAAACCGCTACATGGTTACATGAGACACTCGCAATTTAGGGAAAACACTCTGAGGTCATTTGGCCCATTAAATAAAATGATCCCTTCCAAATTTAGGCGACCTGGTTCTCAAGGTACTTCCTACAAATATTATAAGATTTATTTCCGACACTTCATTGAGAAAGTCCAGAACATGAATTATCCCTGTACCAAGATATTTTAGTCTGCGATCTTGTAAAGCGGGGCAATCATATAGAAGCTATGAGTAGCTATACGATCTGACATGAGTTTAATCAAATTCCTATTAAGGGCCTACAGTATCAAGTGAAAGCATTCCTGAGCATTTTCAATAGTCTGCAAGTGGTAATATGTATTGGAACACCGGAGTTTTATTCCTTCTGTCGGCCATTCGTCCGGTAATTGCGGATTCGTTAGCAATCACCTTTCCCCAAATGCTCTGATTCCGTTGATGTTGAAAGAATTGATATATGGAAGATTATCCATGTACATATATACATCATTCATGCAAAGGATTTCATTCTCAGACTATTGGCTATAGGCAATCTGATGAAGACCAAGATACCAACTAATCGGTGAAATCAGGTCTGAATTAAAGAACAATTTTATCGGCATAAACTGTTTTCTCTAATGTGACAACTGTTTCAAGTTATGCGTTTTTGAAGGTATAGATCGATTGGAAAACTCTTTAACTCTTTGTCAGGATTGAGCGTTTGAAACACTATATAGGATTAACATCATATAGGATTAAAACAATCATCTTAATGATCCTTGTGATAAGAATATCATCACCGAAGTTGTTACTCGATTTATCTTAAATTTCTACGAACATGAAAACCTATTTTTTATTGATAATTTAGCGATCGTCATAAATAGTAGACCAATCATATGACATTTGCGTACTGATCGTTTTGAAGAGAATACAATGGTGTATGTACTTGATTTTTACTCGTTTTCATCATGAAAAGGAAGATCCACGAAGTTCTTTAACAAATTAGCTTGTTTCACCTTTAAGACCAAATTAGTTAAAATCGCTGGTTTCTGTGGAAGTTTATCTAGAAACTTGGAAAACAAAGGAGCTTCCGATACATTGCTTTTGTACTGAAATGCATAAACGGATGAGGTTTGAACTCAAATTAACGGCCAAATTCGTGTCGACATGTCAACTAAACAGTTACAAAACCATAAACATGGTCCATGATAGCTAACGATCAATAGCTCTCAAGAATATTTGAAAGAACAAGTCCTCGCAAACTATTTGGACAAATACGTGACTATGCCCAAAGAAGTAACAACGAACTGATCGAGCTATGTGAAGGAGAGGACATAGTTATATTTATAAATAATCAATGTCCCAAAAGTCAATGCAAATCTATGACATCAGAGGAACTAGACGCGAACAAGATGGAAAGACTGCCTAGAAGACGACGTGAGTAAAATGGGTATTCCAAACTGACAACAGAAAGCCGAAAATATAAGGGAATGGAGAAGAATATTTGATCAGACTAAAACTCATATTTGATCAGCAAAACTGACCACCACTACATGATCGTAACAAAAGTTAATAATGGAAAAGAAGTGGTATTAAAGCAAAAAATCGAAAATATATGAATATAAAAAGCAAATGAAATTCTATGATTTCTAAGTGCATTTCAATTTTAAATTAAATTATAAGATAAATTGAAACATATTCTTAAAGTTGAAATAGTTGTATAGAAAAACCATAAGATACCAAATTGCTTTAAGAAAATTATAATAAAGAAAATCAAGTAATGGTAAAACTTAAAAACTATTAAATGAATTGATTAATTAATTAATGAATTAAGTAAGGAAAAATGATAAAAATGTATGTTGTATATGTTGGAAAAGGAAAAAATTAATGTTGCAACAACTACAGTTTAAAATATATTTTCAGACACTTTAGCAATTGCAAACAATTTTTTAAAAAATAAAATTGTCCACAAAAATATAATTTATTAAAAGCGTCGTATTTCTCACTACTAGCAAATAATTTAATCATAAAAATCAATATTAAACAAAACTAATTTTTTTTTTTAATATGAAAAACAAAAACATTTTTACCGAAAAACATGTTGATAAAAATTGTTGAAAAACAGATGGTAATACTGTATCACAAGTATCGATATCTTTGGAGAAACGACTTATAATGCGGCCCTGTGGTGTTATATCGAATAGTTCCATTGGCCATTTGAATATCATTGCCAAGAGTTTAACAAAAACTTCCATGGAACTATGTAAACAACCCAGTGCCAAAAATAGGCCCGATAAATAACGTGCTATCACTAGATATGGAAAAAGGAAGTGGGAAATCGTTTTTTTGTACATATTTTTTGTTTGTTTTTTAATTTAGAAACTTAAAAAATTATTATTAAAAAATTAAGCTAAATTTATCAACTAAAGTAACTCAGTAAAAAAAATCCCAAACAAAAATTTTGAATAACTACATGCAAAACAAATAATTTTGTACATTTACTTAAAAAAAATATTAAACTCAAAGTTAGTAAAAGGACTTTAAAGGGTTAAAAATCATTTACAAGCCAAAAACAGTTTTTTTTTTCTTTTTATTTACACAAAACTCTACACGTATTCAAAAAAACGACTATGAAATAATACAAACAGAATCGAAAACCAAATGTACTATATATGTAAGAAAGAAAATAGTGATGTTAAACGATGTTAAGCAGGAGAATGCTAATTGCCCAACTCCACTCAGAGACCGCTATGGTTCATTGTGAATCCCTTCGATAAGAAGGTATAGGAGAAGTAAAAATAAAAAACTAGAAAGATGCTAGAAGAAAGTGGTCAGTAACAGATCAAGAAAGTTGTACGACAGAGGATCTGTTTTATTCCAACCAAAGAACGACATCCAGCAAAATAAGAAACTAGAAAGATGCTAGAAGAAAGTGGTCAGTAACAGATCAAGAAAGTTGTACGACAGAGGATCTGTTTTATTCCAACCAAAGAACGACATCCAGCAATATTACCCAATTCGTCGTCAAATCTGCTTCCTAGCCATTTCTCCCTGGTACCCTGTACTCTAGGACCATAGCAATTTCTTCAATCGTATAGCCTGCAGAAGTCCGGTATAGTCATATCACATTTGCTAAAAATGGCCCTAATAGAACAATGCCCCGTTAAAAGCCTTATAAAAGTCCTTAGACTGCACCTATCTGTGGTTGCCTTTGTATTAAGCTTTGGCTATAAGGCATTTGATTCACTGCCCCATGACTAATTAGTTTTGTCCCGGAATCTATCTGAGATCATTCTGTAATAGTGACAAATGGGTGGCTTGACCCTTCTGTCACTTCCATTAAGGTCAAGGTTCGAACCTTGCCTTGCAAATCCGTCCACTCGGGGGAGTTTTCCAGATTTTTCCTACCGAGCGCGTCCCCGGGTGGCGGATAGGGGGTGGTGATGGACCATCTGTCCTCTCCCAGCTTTAATTTCACTTAAGCTGAGGGAGGGCAGATTGTCCACCACCTGGGAATATTATATTCCCCGCGGACCAAAAAACTGGAAAAAAAAAAAAAAAAAAAAACAAATATGGAAAATAAAAATAAAAAGATAAAAGTTACGGTGCAGGGCCTAAATAACCCAGTACCGGCGGCAAGTGTTGATCTACTCGCGAGTCACGTGTCGTCGTCATCCTGCAATCGTGAGCAGAATACTACTACGGAGGTGGGTACCTTGGCCTCCGTGGCGGACAATGCGTCAAGTGTACAGCATGCCGCTGGCAAAAATATAGGGGTGAAAGAGAAGGATGTACTCGGAGAGAGCTCTAAGCTACCTCAGCCTTTAAATATAGGTGAGGGTTCCGACTCTGAATCCTCAGATGATAATAAAAATAATACCATTATAGCAAATCCCAAAAAGGATGAAGTAGAGCAAATGGTGAAAGAGGTGAGTGATAGCATAGCTAAACTACCTATTACTAAGAAAAGACTTTCTGGAGCACAGAGGAGGAAGTTGAAAAAGATGCTTCAGGAAATCATAGTTAGTCAATCCCACGACACTCCAAAGGAAAAATCGAACTCTCTCACAAGATCTGAGGCAAAAAGGATCAGGTCTCCCGAGGAGTTGACAACTGAGAATAAACCTAAGAAGAAAAAGAGCTCCCCGTCTTCTAATACACAGTCGAAGCCAAGCCATACTTCACTCAAAGGAATCTCAATTGAGAATCCTGCGAGTAAGGGTGACAACGCCAAGCCAGATATTCCGAAGACGAACACGTCGGCGAAATCAACCTCGAAGGTAAGGGAATCTCAAAAGAAGCCCCGAAAAACGAGGAAGGAGAAGCTAGACGGAGGAAAAGGAAAAGAGCCGCCATCTTACGCCACAGTTGCCAGAAGTAGGCACCGGGACGATCTCTGCTATGCAGTTTACGATGCCGGTAATCCGACAGGCAAAATTCCAATAGACCAACAGAGTAAAATAGAAGACCTGGTCAACAATAAGATAGTGGACCATGCAATCGCTTCGAAGGGCAAACAACCAATAGAGAGCGAGAGCTGCGAGTTCAGCATGGGCGTGATGTTGATGAGGTTGGCATCTCACCAATGTGTTAGCACCCTAAAGAACTTGGTGGAAAGTATCCCTCCTCCCTGGGACGGCGCTAGGCTGGGACTGGCAAAGAAGAGCGAGCTTCCGGTGCTCCTAAAGTCCACTGTCTACATAAAAGGATGGGGCAGTAAACTGGCTAATGAACGTATACTGGAAATTCTTGGAGGTCAAAATGCTGAGCTGGCCGTGGAAAAATGGGATGTCTTTTACAGGAAAGAAGAACCTGAGGGAACTTTATTTGTAATAGGTATCGACCAGAAATCCATGGCTAGTCTTGCCAAGAATAAAGGTAGAGCTTACTTCGCCTCTAAATCTGTCATATTCAAAATTGGGAAGGTGCCGATTGGAAGGGCTGTTACAACAAGCCTCGAAAAGGATACTAAAAAACCTAAGACCACAGCATCAGTATCCACTACTGATAACGTTGAGGAGTCAAATCCTAAAATCGAGGAATTTACCATTAACTCGCCAGAAGAAAGTGTAGTTGCCCTTTCCAAAATTGGGAAGGCGCCGATTGAAAGGGCTGTCAAAACCGGCCCCGACAAGGACACTAAAACACCTAAGACAGTACCCAAAGCATCATTAGCAAGTACTAGCAATGTTGAGGAGTCAAATCCTAAAAGCGAGGAGGAAATCACTCACCCGCCAGAAGACAGAACAGCAATGCTCTCCAGAATTGGGAATGTGTCTATTAAAAATATTGCTATTCCTATGCCTGATAAGGACACCGCAGTGCCATCAACAGTACTCACTGCATTAATAGCCACTTCAGGCTATCCGGAGGAGTCAAATCCAAAGAGCGAGGAGGTGACCACCAACTCGCTGGAAGACAGTTTAATGGATGACCATGATTGAGGTTATCCAAATAAACCTCCATCGGAGCGAGACAGCTACCAACGCTCTGATGGCTAAAATCAACACAGGTAAAATACATATAGCTTTAATCCAGGAACCTTGGACGATTCGCAACAAGGTTTCTGGATTAAATCACGTAAATTTCCAACTTTTCTACGCTGATACAGGATCTCGCCCGAGAACATGTATCTTATGTCACAAGAACTTATGTTTTCTCCTCTCAACAGGATTATCAACATCGGATGCAACGGTGCTGAAGCAAGGTCGTGGCAACATATTCCTTGCATCTATTTACCTGCCTTTCGATTCTCCGACACTACCACCAACGTCGGATCTGATGAAACTGGTTGAAGAGGCACAAAGGAAAAATAAGAAAATTGTAATAGGTTGTGATGCCAACTCGCATCATGTAGCTTGGGGTAGTACAAACACCAATCGCAGGGGACAAGCCCTCATGGATTTCTTTAATACTAAAGACTTGATAACATTGAACTTAGGTAATAAAGCTACCTTCGTCAATAGAATCAGAGAAGAAGTATTAGATATAACTATATGTTCAGAAGAGCTTATAAACGAAATTCAGGATTGGAGAGTTTCGGACGAGCACTCCTTTTCTGATCATCGGTACATAAGATTCAAAATACTAAGGCCACCACCAAAGCCGATAAAGTTTCGGAATAAGTCTAAAACTAATTGGACAATGTTCGGGACCTTACTAAAGAACCGTTTAGGTCAGGACACTTTTCAATGTCGAAATAAAGAGGATATAGATGCCAAAGTGGAAACGTTCACAAGTGCCCTGGTTGAATCGTTCGAGGACAGCTGCCCTCTGCGAGAGCGGAGATCTGCCCAGGAAAAACCCTGGGTAACTGGGGAGATCCGGAACCTTGGGAAGACTCTTCGCAAACTATTTAACCGGGCACGGCGTAAAAAGACCGCAGTATACTGGGATGAGTATCGTAATAAACTTGGTGAATATAAGAAAATCGTTCGAAAAGCCAAACGAGACTCCTGGAAACTTTTCTGTGAACAGGTAGATAGCGTAAATGACGTATCGAAGATAAAAAAATTCCTATCCAAAACTCATGTCCAACCGGAATCTATGATCGATGACACGGGCAGGAGGCTTGAGGATATGGAGGAGACAATGAAACTCCTAATGGATTCTCATTTCCCACCCGGTATATCGAATAACATAGATGAACCGATATTGGAGGAAGGGGAGGGTAACACGGAAATAGTAATTACAACTGACATGGTGAAAGGGGCAATCAAGAGCTTTGCTCCCTATAAAGCTGCAGGGCCGGATGGAATTTTCCCGGCACTTTTGCAGATGGAGGCGGGACTGGTTTCCGTACATCTGTCACAGATATTCACGGCATGCTTAAAATTGGCATATACCCCAGTTAAATGGCAGGATGCAAGGGTAATATTTATACCCAAACCAGGGAAACCTAGCTATGCGACACCTAAGTCCTATCGACCGATAAGTCTTACGTCCTTCCTACTTAAAACCTTGGAACGGATAGTCGATAGCATGGTTAAAAGCAGCATACCATACAATGACCTTAAATATAAGCAGCATGCTTATGTAAAGGGACGATCGGTGGAAACCGCTTTAAATGAAGTTGTCCACTACATAGGTGAATCTTTCGATAGCAAACTGTATACACTGGCAGTATACATTGACATCGAAGGCGCTTTCAATAACGTGCACACTGATACCCTTATCCAATCCCTAGACCAGTTTTATGTTGACCGGGTGCTCCGTAACTGGATCAACTACATGCTAAGGAACAGATGGATAAGCTGCGAGATGTACGATATAACTATCAGGAAAAAGGTATTTCGCGGTATACCACAGGGT